CTCGCTTCATCAACTTATAATTGCTTATGCGTGGCTAACGGTGAGCATGAAACGGATTTCGTGTAATAAAAAATAAAGAAATTGAAAAAAATACATCTGTACTTTAATCACAAATTACAGCACGAACATCCAGCTGCTTGATGATCTGGTCGAGGTTTTTAACAGACTTTTTTAATGAGGTATAATACCGCGCAAGATTTTTACCAAATATCGTGAGTCAGTATTCCGCAAAATGAGAGGAGATGGAGGATTTGCAGTCAACTGCAGATGCATCGTGCTCGATTCGATTCGTTGATAACATTGTGCTGTTGGGTACGAAAGAAGAAAGGGTTGAATTTGTTTCATCTAAGGTGGCGGTAAGGGCAAGTATGACTCAATATAAACAAGACGAAGGGCTAAATGGTGATAAACAAATTCAATCAGCCAGCTACAGTTACCGTCAACTATAGCCAAAGAGAAGAGTGACGAATGCGTGAAATCGAGACAGCTATTCTTATCAGACCATTACGTTGGTCCAGGGCTCACCAAAAGATGCAGTACCTACAGAAGAAGTGCTGACGTTTGCGAAAATAGGAAATTATCAGTTGCAGTTAAGAGCACGCTTACAAAGGCGCAGTATTGCCAGCTGCATTATATGGTTATGAGGCCTGGACATTCGCGATAAAGAGGAAAAGCGTTAAGAGTGCAGTAGCGAGCTGTAGAAAGAAGGATGTCAGAAATTTCTATCATGAACCAGCTCAGAAATGAAGAAATAATGAACCGCACAGGAATGAAAAGCATTTATCGCCTTCAAATGAAGAAAACGACAATGGCAAAGTCAATCGCATGATTGACGGATGATTGATGGACTTCGACAGGAATGAATTTGTACCTAAGGGGCGGCAAGCACACTTTTGGAAATCATCCCATTCGAGCCAAAAGAAGGGCATGAAGCTTGTAGCGAAAAGTCGCACAAGGCGACACTGTCGGCATCAGGAGTGATCAATGGAGATTAATTGAATTTTGAAAAAGGATCGATCACGAATTTTAAACTATACGCTAAGATTTCAAGTATTTCACAGCACAACGAGGAATCAATCGAGTCTTTATCTTGACAACTAGGTGTCATGATGATGATTTATGTAATATAATGCATAAGCGGTGCAATGTAGTAAGAAACGTGAAGATCACAGGATTATTCTCTTGCATGAAGGAATGTTCAGTTTTCAAGCATGGATGACGGTTCAACTGAACATTCACGAAAATACTGTATGAAACATTTCTGTAACATACATTACACGGTGAAATGCAAGGTGGCTTTGAGAGGTGCTATAGATTGGCGTATGCTTTATTGCACACAATAAATCAACCGATCGGCAAGTGATAATGACTCGATCATAGATTCTGAGCAGAAGCACCAGAGTGAACAGTCTTCTTCTATCTTTGACCAATTCTCAACAGTCACCACTTGCAATGAAATGTGTCAAAGCTTTGACTATTTAAATCGCAAAATTATCCGTATCTTTGTGTCGCCACAGAGAGGAATCCAAAACCAAACCGTTTTCATTTCTTGCCGGATAATTCACTGCACACGTATTGTATACACTCACAGCGGTGGTATATATGCCGTGAATCTGCACCTTTATCTTTGTGACGTTCTCTAATTCAACTTTTCTGACACGACTTTCAAAGAAATATTTATTTTCGTTTTGAAAAACAAGTGTCAGGATTTGAAGGCTATGACATCACTGTTCACCGTTAAGACTTGATTATGTGCTAAACATTTTTATAAATTTTTCATCTTTATTTCGTTATTCAATTTAAAAATTGAAAAAAGCTTCATTTCTCATTCAGTCATCGACGCAGGCAGAAAATACTTTTTAATTCAACAATCACTTCAATTAAATAAAATGATGCTGTGCTTACAAAAGCTCAAAACATGAAGAACTTAAATTATAGAACGAGAAACCGCACCTGACGATTGTGTTACTTGGTACATCACTAATTTAATAGTACATGCTGGAAATCGACAGTTATTTAGAGCAATAAATCAATATAACAGAAACAACACAAATAACTGATTAACAGAAGAACGAACAGCAAAAAAAGAACAACTTTTCCTTCAAACCGTAATTTGGTGTTTAGCAGGCTTTTTGTTGAGTTTCCTGCTATAAAACAGAAACTTGTATGGCAAAACATTGATTAAACATGATGAAAAGATGAAAACGTCTTGTCACAAGTGTTCGCTTTACGCAATGAATTAGCAGCTCAATATGATGCAAAGATGGAAAGGAAAAACTATTTTTTCCAGTGATCCGAAAGATGAGACCTTTCACTTATTTGGAAAACATTCGGTCTACATTCAGCGGAAAAACTTGCCATTTATTAGCCACTAAAGATTGGGTGTTTAAATATTTAATGGATAAAATCCATTATTTATATTCTATCACTGTGGCTCAAAAGAAGTTCGACCGAAATACATGTAAGTACAGTATTGGACAGTAAATCTAACTGAACAACAACTCGCATTTACTACCTGCATGCCCTAGTTTCCAAGTTTATCAGACAAAATCTCATCTTTAAGAACATTGGAGTTACCTTCACGTCAAGGATCATCATGAATCAAGGAGTTATGATCATTATTCACATGATTAATGTAAAGACCAAATTCCCTTTAATGAACTAAGAAATGCGGTTAACCAGATCAGCTTCCGGCCTGCCATTTACCAGACGTCAGGGCCACTGCGACTCAAGGTTGCTGGGCGCAAATAAACCACCAAACGAGCGGCTGCGGGCAGGGAAGCATTGCGAAACTTAAAAATAACTTCTCGAACATTCCATCAACATGTTACTAGTAGACACCACGCTAATTTCGCTAGAAAAATCCATTATTGCCGCAAAGCAATGTCTTAGAAGGAGTATTGCTAGAAATCTTTTTGTTTCAAATTATTGAAAATGTTATAGATATATTTCATTAGCTAGAAATGCCAAAATTATGAATTGGCCCGTAGGAAAGACTTGCCAAGGACAGTGGAAAGATCAGTGTCATTTTTGAACGATCTGGAAGAGAAAAGGTCAATTTTCTGATACCTGTGGAACGCGATGCGGTAGATGGGTATTAAATTCTTTAAAGACTCACAACTGGACGCTTAAATTTTCATGTTAAAATGTAAATTTTGTGAGTATAATCACTTTGCTGAAGAGGGTAAGAAATTTCTGCTGAACTAATCCTTCACTTTAACATGATTTTGTCATGTAAAAATTTATGAAGCAGAGAAATTTCTATCTTTGTTCATGCTTATCTTATTCTTAAACTTATTGTGATTGGTGGAATAAAAATGTGTCGGTCAGTCAGATTTGATGACAGCCTACGCTCTCCTGCCGCGGAGACAGGAGAGACTTGAGGGAGTGCATCCAACATTTCTGATCCTATGTCTAAGCGTCTGAGCCACTGCAGAAGATAAGCCGAGTTAAAAAGTAAAATTCATCGAGGCTCCTGCTTCAAGTCATTCTTGACCTTCCCTTGCGTCTTTGGTCAGTCGGTTGAGGAAATTGTAGGATAAGGACGTTTCGAACGAAATTCAAAACATGATTATAGATCAAATTTTTGTATAACAAAACTCTTGCGACTACAGAAATAAATTCTTTA